GTAGGTTGCCCCGGCGTTCTTGAGTCCAAAAGGCATCACCTTGTAACAATATACTCCGCCGGGGGTAGTGAAAGACGTCTTCTCTTCGTCCTCAGGGTGCATTCGGATTTGATGGTACCCGCTGAAAGCATCCATGAAACTCATGAGCTCGCAGCCCGCCGTCTCGTCCACCAGCTGGTCGATGTTCGGGAGTGGGAACAGATCCATGGGGCACGCCTTGTTTAGATCGGTGTAGTCCACGCACATCCTCCACGTGTTTCCCTTTGGAGCCAACACCACGTTGGCCATCCACTCCGGGTACCTGACCTCTCTGATATGCCCAATGCTCTGGAGGGTGGCCACTTCCTTGGAGACAAACTCCCTTCGCTCGGACGAGAGGAACCGCTTCTTCTGCTTCACCGGCCTAGCCTCTGGATTGACTGCCAAGCGGTGACATATGACCTTGGGATCCACCCCCGGCATATCCCCGGGGCCCCACGCAAAGATCATGCGGTAGGCAGAGAGCACGCCCACCAAGCGCTTCCGCTGGCTCCCAATTAGGCTCGCCCCGACCTTCACCTTCCGCTCGGGTGTCTGAGGGTCGAGCGACACTTCCTCGACCTCCTCGGCGGGCTCGGCCTTCGGTCGTGCTCCCAGCTTCCGCATTTCCTCTTGTGCGTGCACGACCAACGTCTCATCCCTTGGCAATTTCTTCGTGATACGGACGTAGCACGATCGAGCTTTTTGGTCTCCCCTCGCCACCCCGATTCCCGAAGGAGTGGGAAACTTCATGCACAAGTAGTATGGGGAGATCACACATTCCAAGTCCTCAAGGTCGGGCCGTCCTAGGATCATGTTGTGCGCGCAGTTGATGCTTACAACCATGAACTCCATCTTCAGCTTGGCCTTGTGCGCACCATCCCCTACTATCACAGGCACGGCGATGACTCCTTCGGCCTCGATGGAGTCCCCCGTGAACCCGGAGAGTGGAGTGCGCACAGGCCTTAAGTCCTTGCGGTCCAAGCCGAGGTCTTGGAAGGTCTTCTCATACATTATGTTGACCGAGCTTCCCGTGTCCACCAAGGTGCGGTGCAATATGGCATTGTTAATCTCCAGCTTCACGACCAAGGCATCCCGGTGGGGGCTCGGCGTGTTCGGAAGATCCTTCTCCGTGAATTGGATTTGCTCACGTCTTCCGTGCTTGGGCGCCGGCGCCTGATGGACTTTGGCGACGAAGGCCATGTGCTTCCACCTCTTCCTTTGAGCGACGGAGTCCCCGCCAATGTTTCCTCCA